GTGCAACCATGAATCTATGGTGGAGTGATTTCATGGTTAATAAACTTAAATTATTTTTAATGAGATTAAGAATATTATTAAGTTTATTAAATCTTTGAATATCTATGTCCAAATAGATTCCTCACTTAGCTTCGTACAATCAAACTTGTTTAAACTAGAATGTATGTTTTAATTTGATTAATTAAATTGTGTACAAAAATGACACCTTTAACATGTTTTTCTTAATTTAGACAAGAAAACATGTTTGACCTTAATTTAGATAAGAAAATATGTTTGTCTTAATTTAGATAAGAAAATATGTTTGTCTTAATTTAAGACAAGAAAAATATTTTTTGTCTTAATCTAGACAAGAAAACATATTTGTCTCAATTTAGACAAGATAAAATATTTTGTCTTAATTAAAGATAAGAGTTGTTTTAAATTAAGATAATGCTAGGAGGATTCTTGTAAAATGAATCTAGACATTCATGTTGATAAAAGGAGACTTTATACTTGACTATCACTCTTTTATTTATCATTACTCTTTTTAAATAAAGATAGATAATAATAAAATAAGAATTATTATTCAACAAGGAGTTTTATTTTTATCAAGAACCCTAAATGATAATTAAAAAATTAAATTATTTATTCTTTACTTTTAATTTTGAGAATTATGGAACATGTTTGATGCTTCCATAACTCTAAATGGATGGTCAAGATCGATTCAAAGGTGTTTGATTTTGATTAAACCTTTGAGGCAAGAGTTTTAATAAAAAGAGAAGATATTGGAAAAAAAAGAAAGGTACAAACTTTCTCTTGAAAATGTTTCAACCATCACTTCTCTTCTCCTCCTTCAAACTTTATGGTATCTTTCTTCCTCTTTCCCATTCTTGGCTAAATTTTTTTTGAAAGAAAATAGTCACTAATATTTACGAAGAAAAGAGAGACAAAATTGGTTGCCATCTTGTAGGTCTAGCATTCCACCTCTCATCCACTTAAGGTTCAAGTTAAAAGTATTCTCGAAGAATAAGTGGTAAATTTATTTGTTCAAGAAATCATTCATTGGTATGGTGGTGTCCAAAGATAAGAATCTCAAAATAAAACGTATGTTTTTTCTTACTTAATAGATTCTTATTTTTTTAGGATGTGATTATGTTACTTACAATAAGA